GAAATTCATATATAATAGAATTAATATGATTGAAAAATTTAAACATAATGTTATATTTTAAATTTTTGTATTAATATTATATTGTAATTTAATGTCAATATTGTGTTGCAATTTATATTATATTTATATTATATTATATTATAATATTTAATGTCAATATTATAATCAATATTGTTATTAGCAATTTATAGCATTTAATTCTGAAAATCTAAATTTTTTGAAATACACAAGAGATCATCGCGAAAATTCTGCTTGTTAAAAATAAAAAACGATGTTTAATGAATGGAAGTGAAAAATCTATCTCTATAGTGATAGAAAGTCGATTCAAGGATAATAAAAATATTTAAAAAATTCTTCAGCTGATAGTGACTAGAAAAACAACATAATTTGCTAGTAACTTTTTAATACTACAGGTATACCAGCAACTCCGCATGCGCTTTATTCCAAAAAAGAACCATCAGCCATATTGGTGTGTTGTATCGCTGTCCTCAGTAATTTCAGAAGATCAGTGAGGTATTTCTTTTGTTCATCACGCGATTTTTTCCCATATTCATTGCTTTATGAATAATTGACAATACCAATGTTATATTTAATCGAAATAGATTGTCATTCGGAGAGTTTTATGACATCCTTTAGCGGAAAAAGTTTGGTTAATGTTGCCACCTGGGCTCACGGAAATCGGTCTGTTCATGAATATGTCGTAAATAAATGCGTACTATTTTCACTGGATTGGAATGTTCATAGAACATTAATACCTTCTTCTGCATCGTCGTCTTTCCGTGCAAGATTATCATTGGTGTTAGTTAATTTTAAAAAGAATCACAGCTTTTTACGTATACTTTGCCGTAACCGTCTGCCGTACTTTCTTACCTTCGTTCACTTTTACTTCATTCTTTTTATATAGCTCAGTTATCTTTTATGATAATATTTAATTTATTACTCTCGTAATTATCATTGATTATTATAGTTGCTAATTTTCGTTTAGCAACAGGTAAAAATTACCAATAAAATTTTCTATAATTGTATCAATCAAGTATACCATATATCTGTGATTATTATCATATTCTTTTTACTACTAGATGATATTTTCTAATTTTTATATATATAGAACATATTCTTTATCTAATTTCATATAAGAGAAATCATATATTTCTATATTTTATTTTTTTGTTATATATTTTTTAATAATTGACATATAAGTTAAGAAAAAAATAAGTGGAAACTAAGTAACATTGTAATCATCTTTTTAAAATTTTATATCTAATTATGTTTTTATATATGTAATAAAATATGTAATAAAGT